TCATAAAAACCATAAGCCTCCGGAGGGTGGGGTTTTCAGATTTACAATCACAAAAAGCCGCTCCAAACCCCCTCATTTTTGTTTTTTTTTTTTTTAACCGGGGTTCCGTATTGGAAAATTTTCCCAAAACATGAGAACCAAAAGTGAAAAGTGAACCGGTTCGGGGAAAATGAAACCTGATTATCTCGTAAATATAATTTTCCCCCATTTAATGAGTTAGTTTCTATAATTGCTTTATCCTCGTGCTAGTAATATAAAGTTAGTGATACTGAGCTCGATAACCAAAGAAAACACGACTATTGTCGCAAGTCTCTGACCGCTAACGAAACCCCCTTCAAAACGAGTTTTGGGATTGTGGGCTGAAGGCTGTTCACACCGACTGTTGGTGTTTTCGTTGACATTTCTTTTATCCTTTGTTTACAGTTTTGCTACACGAAAACAAAATCAAAATACTTTGCCTTCAATTTCTTTTCATTAAGGCCTGGTCAAACTGGCGCGGTGCGGCACGGTGCGGTATAATCCCGTACGATATGCGGTATCAAATACCATGGCGCGGTATTGGAAGTGCGGTACACCGCGATACAGAACTCTACCGCAGCATGCAGCGTTCACCGCGCGGTATAAGAAGATATATCGTAATCAGAGTTGCAATTTAGAGCTAGAGTTCTACAACATATTTTATCTACAAAAGTGGTACAGATTATAAATTCTACCTTTTTCATTATAAAAAACGTGAGTTTAAAAGTGCTCGTAATACATTTGTTGGCATAAATGTGATATTCTTTGGTTTTATTTCTCACAAAGTAAATAAAATAAAGTTGAACTTTTTCGTTTGTTTGATAAATAATTTTCAAATCTTACAATGTTGCTCAGAAATATGAACGGTAAATTTATTAGAATGTAAAATTCTTTCGCAAAAGGTACACAATGGAGCGCAGATATGGAAATATTTATAAAATCTTTCTTCGTGGTTACGCAGTTGGGGCATCAGGCTGGAAAATTCATCACCTTCTTGTCTTCTCAAATTTATATCGTGAACCCATCTTCTTTTTCTTAAACATATACATAAATTAAGAAATTTGCAGGATAAAACAAAGATGTAGGCATATTCATACCTTCTGTTTTCTTCATCGAGAAGTGCTGCTAATAGCAATAATTTGTCCTCAGAGCTTGAGGTGTCCATCGCAAAAATCAGATTTATAATATATGTATAAATTTAGAAGGAGGAATGCGTAGAGTGCCGTCACATGGCAACAATGTTTCTTGCTATACCGCACCGCGCCTGTTTGAGTGCCTTTGCGTATATCGTAACCGCGTATATACGGGATTATACCGCGCTGTACCGCACCGCGCCTGTTTGAGCAGGCCTTTAACCACCTTTTACTTCCATGCTTATAGGGAATTTACATGAGGCGATTTTTAGTTGAATGCAACAATCGCCTGGTGTAAACGGCCTTTCAACTAATCGCTTTCAATGAAGTTGGTCGGCTGCCTGGTTTCGTTCAACTTTTTGTTCAACTAATCGCCTGTGAAAGTTGAATCATGTAAATTCCCTATTACTTTATTTTTGCCAGCCAATTAACAATAAATCATGAACGAAAGACACAAGATCACGTAAGAACAAGAGAGTGAAAAAAGTCGATTTTTTGAGCGGTTTCTACGCCATCTTGTTTCACTGGAAAACGAGCGAAAAGTAAACAAAGCAAAGAAAACAACGAAAACCAAAATGAGCCGAAATTATTGTCAGCCACTTTAAACGCACAATTTAGGTAAAATGATGCAACAAAATGCTATAAAATGTGTTGTCATGTTGAATTAACTCTTCTTTACTTGAATAAAATTGTAAAATAGTGGTGCTTGTGATGTAAACAAACGCTCAGCTGACGAACCCGCTTTCGCAAACTTTTTTCTCAAAACCAGTTACAAATACAACGTCGCGTTCTTACGTGATCTTATATTTTTGGTTCATGACAATAAATCCGAATTGACGTATTAAGGATGATAAAATATTACATCCACTTCGATAAATAATCGTGAGTTTTCAAGAGGTTTTCAGCGAAAACTAGTTTTCGTTTGACAGATTTTACGAAAACACTAGTTTTAGGTCGAAAACCAGTTTTACCGACGAAAACATGTTTTCGATGTAGCTCAGAACATGGTATAAGTTGGGGTTTACAGCAGTCAATTTACAATTGTCAAGACAATTATGTCAAAATGATGTGTTTGTTGTAATATGAATTCGCCGTGTTTACAACAAACACATCATTTTGACATGATTTTCTTGACAATATTGTCTGTTGTAAACTCTTCTTAATACCATGTCCCCACCGGAGCTAACCACGTAGTTATGGCTACTGAGTTGGTTATCCCGATAACCCACTTGATTTAGCGTATTTTCGCCATATAAAAATGACAGCACTTAACCATTTCACTGAGATGGTTAAAAGCTAACCAACTCGAAACCACGTCGAAAGTCTGATACAACCCTGTGTTTTCCCGCCATCTGTGGGTCATTGGCGTTGAAATGTAAAGAATTCGTTCCCTACTAGTGTTTGGACTCAACTAAGATCAGATTAGATCCGGTTTTTGAAAAAAAATGAAATCTACTCCTCTACTCCGCTTGACTTCCAAGCTATTCCGTTTTTTTCATTCATGTTATGTCCCTTTTGGGGCCGTTTTTTGAGTGTTAACCACCGGTTTCAGTAAAAAAATTGAAAGTCAGCCAAATCTCACTGTTAAAAAGTAACTCTTTCATAGCAATGCGTCAATAAAGTAACTTCGTTATTTTTTGATGTATGGCTGTACAAATTGGCGGATGCAGAACTTTACTTAACTTGTTAAAAAATATATGTAGAATGAAATTTATATAAAGTAGAAAAGGTTTGCTTTTTAAAAAATTAAGTGTTAGATACGTTCTACTATATAGAAAATGCTAAAAATTACCTAAATATGTAACATATTATCCTTACATTGCCCCGCGTTCTTATTTTGCATGAATAGAAAATATTTTAGTCAAACAATTAATGTCAGAAACAAAAATAAAAAATTCAATCTAGTACGGAAAATTTGTTTTTGCTCCGATTTTTGCAGTAATTTAGTCCTGAATCGATTTTTGGAGTTCCGAACACTGTTCTTTACATTTGTACTGTTTTATAAACCTCAAACCGCAGTGTGGACAGCAATAGTTAGTGATGTGGCTAAGTTCGATTTGAGATTGTTAACTTTTTGGTGGGGACATGGTATAAGTGTCTTCTACGGAAAAGTTACATCTAAATGACTTTGGGCTCCGTTTATATGGAGTCGTTCATGACTTTTTAATATAAATGGTAATTTCGTCGTTGATGTCTGCATAACTTTGTCATACAGTGAACATTGATGACATTCAAGCCACAGTATCTTACAAGTGACCGCTGCAAGACATCGTCTGTTATAAGTCTTTGATAGGGGTACACCTGCATGAAATCAGTTACTCCAGTTACTCTCTAACAAGTGTCAAAAATGTGTCAACCCGTGCCAAAGTGCCCAGAGCGTGAGGAACGCAATAACCACATTTTGTGCCTGGAATCAACAAATCCGCTCTAAACAATGATTTGATGGATATTTTTCTTATATGGCTAATAAAATTAGCAAATACATACATTTATGAACCTTTAGTGCTATTTCCATGTTTGTATTTTACAAAATTTCCTAACGGATGTGAACAAACAACATTTGAAATTTACTTCTTGCACATTTCTGCCCGTGCGGGCTGTTTCGGGCACGTCGAAGAAGACTTTTACGATGCAAAAGTGGAAGGTATTCGCCAAGGCGCATCAATGTACTTTGTTTTCAAGAATGATAGAATACAAGATTGCGCCGATCAGAGAGGATTTTTGAGAATAACTTTTGTGTGACGTCACCCTGGTGCAATTGCGAGAGAGAAATGCCAAAACGTCAGCAAGAATGGAAGAAGAAGAAAAAATGTTGCAAGGAAAACGTAAACAAGTTGTACCAGTGTGACGTCATGCAAACAACGATTCTGTCAAATTCGTTAAGAGAGGAATAGCGGTCCGAAATCGGCGCAACCTTTGTATTCTCTCAATCGTGCTTTGTTTTTGCTTTTGATGGGTGTGCTGTCAAATCAGTAAAAGGAAAAACAAAATACATGTAAGGCGAAGAAATCAGCTGATAAATACGCCTTGTGTGTGACGTTCGTAAATTTGAAGTTTGCTATTTCTGTTTTGCTTCTCTCTTTATGTGTGTTTTGTCGGTGGTTTATTTCATTGATTTTTAAGCGATTTTCAATAAATTTGTTTGTACAAATGTAAATAAAAATAAATGCGCTGTGACTTTTTGCAAAAACAGGTACAAAAATAATAAATTTGTTAGCACAAATATGTGCTACAAAATTGCTTGCATTTTTTTCCTTATGTTTCGTCTTCATATTCTTTGTTTACTTTTCAAAGAAAATAACTTGGCGCCGAAATTACAAACGTCAACCAGAAAATTACTTTTTCCTTTTGCTTCTTCTTGTCAGATTTTGTGTAGTTGGATCATGGGTGACAGTGATAAAATCCCCGGTAGTAATATATCGCTCATCCCTACTTACAGCTAAGGACCATGAACCAAAAAGACAAGATCACGACAGCAGAAGAGTGGCCCGTTATAATCGCACTTATGAAAAAAGTAGGGCGATTTTGACATAAGCCCTTTGTTTACATTTGCTCGTTGTTTACAATTTGGTGGTGGCTTTTTACTGCAATTTTCTTAATTTTCGCTTGTGACAACGTGTGCACACATAAGGTAAAGAATAATTTAACACAACGACATGATTTATAGGAGAATTTGCATAATAAAAATGATTATTCATGCGTTCAACAATTACGCGTTTTTTTTTTGTTCTCTTCGTTGTTTACTTCTTACAACAAAGATGGCGTCGAGATTTCAACAGCTAGAAAATAACTTTTTTCTTTCTTTCCTTAAGGCGTGATCTTGTGTCTTTCGTTCATGGCTAAGGACAGTTGACAGCCCTGAAGACAAACGTCATCAATTTCGATGTCATCTGGGTGGGCGTTCGATGGTTGACTTGAATAAATTACTTTTCATATTTAGCGCCGAAATTATGTACTAAAATTTTAATATTCCTGCGAGTACATTTTGTTAAATAAACTCAGACGCTGATATTGAGTTATAAATATTACATGCGGTGCACTTGGCATTTCGAAATCAACTAAGCATGACCGTAACGACGTGGTGTAAACTTGTCATCAACGTAAGTGTTTGTTGAAAATATTTTGTTTAATTATTAATGAAAATAATCATTATAGTCATTTATATTACTTGCTCTCCTGAGCAAAGAGGGTGGCGCCAAGACAAACTCTAAAAACGCTGTGATGGAGGATGTAGCTGACTTCAAAGATTTCAAGAAATTATTACGGACCAAAACGAATGTACTGGTTTTGTTTGTCTCAGGAGTGAAGGAAGCACCTGTTGAGTTGAAGGTATTCCGTGAAGCAGCCAATGCAGTTCGTGGTACAGGTACTATGGTACTGATTGACTGCACACAAAGTGAACGCAAAAAATTGTGTAAAAAGTTAAAAGTCTCGCCAAATCCTTACATATTCAAACATTACAAGGACGGAGATTTTCATAAAGATTACGAGCGCCAAGTTACTCTTTCGTCTATGGTTAATTTCATGCGTGACCCTGCCGGCGATTTACCATGGGAAGAGGATCCGGTGGGAGCGGATGTGTTACATTTCGCCGATTATTCATCATTCCAGCGCCATTTGCGCAAGGATATGCGTCCAATGTTAGTCATGTTCTATGTACCTTGGTGTGGTTTTTGTAAACGCTTTAAACCAGACTATTCTAAAGCAGCAACAGAATTAAAAGGTAAAAACTATGTCATTGCGGCAATGGATGTAGAGCGCACGGAGAATGCACCGGCAAGACGTGCATATAACATTACAGGTAAGGAAAATTCATATTTCATTATGGTTACAAATTTAACATTTTTTTTTTATCTCAAGGATTCCCCACAATATTGTATTTTGAGGGCGGTGAACTGAAACGTTCTTATGAAGGTGATAATAATAAAGATGGTATTGTTGCTTTTATGAAAGACCCGGAAGCGGCGCCTGTCCAAAAAGAGAAAGAGGCAGATTGGTCGTCTGATCCAAACTCTGAAATTGTACATTTGACAAAACAGGGCTTCGAGCCTGCACTCAAAGACGAAAAATCAGTTTTAGTTATGTTCTACGCACCTTGGTGTGGCCATTGCAAGCGTATGAAGCCAGAATATGAGAAGGCCGCTGTAATTATGAAGGATCGTAAAATACGTGGCATATTAGCCGCTTTAGATGCAACCAAGGAAAAGACAATTGCAGAAAAATTCAGCGTTCGCGGTTACCCAACTCTCAAATATTTCGTAAATGGCGCTTTCAAATTTGATGTAAATGTGCGCGATGCATCGAAAATTGTCGACTTCATGGCTGATCCCAAAGAGCCACCACCCCCACCTCCGCCTGAAAAATCTTGGGAAGATGAAGAAAACACGGAAGTGCTCTTTTTAAACGAGGAGAATTTTAGCACGATTTTAAAACGTAAAAAACATGCGCTCGTAATGTTCTATGCACCATGTAAGTACACATAAATTAGTTTTATTGACTGGTTCTTAGTAAGTCTTATTTTACAGGGTGTGGCCACTGCAAGAAAGCAAAACCAGAATTTAACGCTGCTGCCGATGAACTAAAAGATGATCCACGAGTAGTATTGGCTGCTGTGGATTGCACCAAACATCAAAGTCTATGCCAGTCTCATGGTGTTAACGGTTATCCAACTATTATATACTTTTCATACCTCAAAACGAAAGCGGATTACAATAGTGGACGCAATAGCAAAGACTTTGTTGCATTCTTGACTAATCCAAATCTTTCTGCCAGTGAGACCGTACAGATTAAGCACAAAGCAGATGAGCTGTGATGTCAAGGAATTTATGCATTTACTTTTTTCATGCCGTCAGGGAAACACCTCTGTCTATTACTACCCAACGAACAAAACCTGCAGATATTCTAACTTAACTTCTAGGTTATTAAAAAGTATTTTTTAATGTAAGTATCTAATCATGTGATTCATTCTACTGTGCTCTCGAAATTTAATAAAATGTATTTTAATAAATAAACCTACCAACCAGTGCAATTTTGGTATAAATCCTTTGTGTAGTTTCCTTACTGAAATGGAAGGCTTCACTTTTTGGAGACATCCAAATTCAGATGGCCGACCCATTAAACATAAGGTTGCCTAAAATGGATTGTAGCGGCCGATATTATTAAACGGCCAGTAATTAGCAGCAGACCTACACGTTCAGCAATGACATTTTTGCAATTCTTTTTTCCCGAAAGCGCTGTGGAACTTTCTGAGATCTATTTTAAGTAGTACTGTGAAGAGTAGAAGGCACAATATTCAATTCAAGGCAATTCAAAAGTTACACAATTCAAAATTTGAGAAAAGCTGGGGGAAATTTTTATAAATTTGTTGGAAAAAACCTAGGGTAAATAATTAGCCCAAATAATTAGCATGTGCTAAGAATTGGTTTTTACATTTTCTGACTAACGTGTAATTTTGAGTTGTGTCAAATTTAAAGAACATGTGCGATATGTATATCTAATTCTTTTTTTTGATTATTTTAGTAACTTCATTAAAAAAAGGCCTACTGAGTGTTTAGAAAGATACAATCACATCACTTTTGTTTATTCGCACAAATTTTCATTCGTCCGTTTATTTTTTTTCACTTCCTTCCACAGTAGTATATTATCTTATAATTCCTGCCCCAAATGCGTTTACAAGCCACAACATACTGCTACCGACAATGCCAATTGAATGCAATCGAAATTTACCGCTTGCCTCCAACGCGTGGCGCAGATTTCTGTGTCACCTTAGCGGCCTTCTGCTTGGGTGCAGCCTTTGCCTTAGGCGCAGCAGGCTGTGTAGCCTTCTTTGCAGTCTTAGCAGCGCGCTTTTGTTCCTTTGCGGCTTTGATAGCCTGATCGCGTTGGGCCTTACGCACTTCGGGTTTCATGTTGCGCTTGGCCATGATTTCGGCAAGCGAAGCACCGACAATGGCACGCTGGAACTTTTGTGTGCGCCGGGTACGCTTCTTAGTGGTTTCTTCTTCTATACCCTTACGGTGCTTGCGACGGTACAGAACGGTCCAAGTGACCTTACGCGGATTGCGCTTCATCAGGTAGGAGCGTTCGCATTTCTTGTCGAGGAAAGTGAAAGTCTGTGATGGTGGAAGAAAAACGCAAATGTTAATTATGTACTAGTGCTGATACAAGCACGTTTACATACCTTACCGTCAACCTTGACCATGGTCTTGCCATGTCCTGGGTAGATTTTGTACCCACTGAATGAACACAATCCGATTCTGCAAATACGAAGAAAACACTGTTAATTTGCAGGAAATTTCATTACGTGCAGCCAATCACTGTTACTAATATAAAAAATATGCTTTCAATTTGCATTTTTCTTATAAGATGTGTGTAAAATAAATAAATTTAAAATTACAATTGTCGAATAGACGTACTTCATCTTGCTGTTGTTGTCAGTAGAAAGAAACGGAAATGGACATAAAATTGACAGCTGTCAGTGAACTGCCAAATTTTGACTATACGATGCTTGCGACAGCTGGTAGGGATTAGCGCAAAAATATTGGTAATAAATTGATATTCTGGGAGAATTTTAGTGAACTGTATTCAGACTAGGGCTAACGATTATGTTCAAAAATTTAGCAAAGATCCGTTAAGCTATTGGATTAGAGAAGAAATATACACTTATTGCAACGGTACTAGAATTTTGCGTCGGATTTACTTTGCGGGTTACGTTTCTGCGATTATGTCAATAAAGTCCTTTCAAACCACGCATGCGCCTGTTAAGGACACTTGTATCCTTTTTCAACAATGAGCAAACACATACTGAAGTACAAACATAAATACAAAAAAAATGTCAGGAAATTAAAAAAAAAGAAATGTTTTGACGTCAGAGAGCTGGATTTAGCGTGAGCTACTGAAATTCCTTTAAAAGTTTGCGGGAGAAAATAAAATTAGTATTTTAGTGTTTATTAAAATTTCCACAATGAAATTGACTTTGCGTCGCTATTCGTTATTGCTGTGTCTACAATTTACGCTTTTATTAGCTGATTTGTTTTTCAATACTTTTGCCCATATATTTCTACGTGAAAAGCTCCAGTTCACAATATTGATGTTTGTGTAAGTACAACTTAAAAAGGGATACAACTCCGTAATAGTCTTGTTTATTTTTTTAATGCATACTATTTTATAGCACTCAAGATGTTTTTATAATCTGTGAATATGTGTTTTTCACCTTTGCTGTGCATTCAACCTGTGTTTACGAGGTGGGTGAACAAGTTTTGAGAGTGACCAATAAATATTTGAATTAATTGAAATACTTTGGCTTCTAGGTCGGCGGTGCCTCTGTAATTTTGCGTAATTGCAAATTCTTTTTACTCACAATTCTAACCTACTTCCTACTTTCGGCTTCGCAACATTTCTGGATAGTTTACAATACGATGTGGGCGCCAACTGCTGATTGGTCAAGTACTCTTACCGCCTTAGCATTTGTACAGCGCCTTGGTATTCAAATTATTATAATTTATATTAAACATATTTAAAGTTTATCGTTGAAATAATCTATTTATTGCAGTATCCTTCGTTTATTACTATACTTGTAAACATACCGCTTTAGTTGTATCAGATCCCAGATATTACGAGGAAAATATTGACTGGATTGCCGAACAATTAAGTGATAAGTAAAGCTAATTGATTACGTAAATTGTAATAATTGACATTTATTTAAAATGTACCGTTAAAATGCTCAATATTAAAGTTGTATAAAGAAATACTTTAATTTGAGTATTCAAGAAACACAAATAGGAAAACAAATTTGGCGACTTTTATAATGTTTAAGGCCAGAGCCTTCTAAACTTACAGAAGAAACACTTCTCAATGACCTTTGTGACACTGCGCTGCGCGGCGCAATTGCATTAACACCATGATGCAATAAAATGAGGTGTCGGACTATGAACCAATTAGAACAGATCTGACCGGTTGAGAAGCAGCCATTTGTAATAGCAATTGAGAAAAAAGTGTGCGACGTTCGTAATTTTGAAGTTTGCTATTGCTGTTTTGCTTCTTTCTTTAAGTGTATTTTGTCGGTGGTTTATTTCAGTGATTTTTAAGCGATTTTCAATCATTTTTTTGTGCAAATGTAATTAAAATGAAGTGTACGGTGATTGGTTGCAAAAACACGAACAAAAATAATAAATTGGTTAGCAGAAACATGTGCTTCAAAATTGCTTTAATTGTTTTCTTTATGCTTCGTCTTCATGTTCTTTGTTTACTTTTCAAAGAAAATAACATGGCGCCGAAATTACAAACGTCAGTCAGACCTTGTGTAGTTGGATTATGGTGTCGGACCATGATTCAGTAATTAAAAGCTTTGTTTTTTAACAGGTAGTTAACAAAAGTCATCACTAATTTCTGCTGGAAAGCGTTTCTTAACCCAAAAAACTAGCAATCTCTCTCGTTCCTACGCTCATATTTGTTTTGGCTCTCCTGCTAATTTCTGCTATTAAAATTTATACTAGCAGAAACTATGAGCTGTCAAAATGGACAAACAAAAGTGGTATTCATCTAAACCGATAACTTTATCAGCAGATAACCTTATAAGTTTACGCACTCTGTTACAGGAACGACTCACACTATTATCAGTATCACTAACTTTATACTACTAGCACGAGGATAAAGAAATTTTAGAAACTAACTCACTAAATGGGAAAAACTTATCAGGCCGATTCTGAACAGAAACTCCCCGGGAATTTTCTCTCTTCTCCCTTTCCTCCTATCATGAATAAAAATTCCTTGAGGATTTTTATACTAAATGGCGGAGTTGAGCTCTCAAAAAAGTGTCAAACAGCTTTTTCGAAGTTCGAATTTAATCCTCCCAAGTTTTCGGGAAAAATGCTACTACTAGGAGTTAATTATTGGGGGATTTCTTTCTCGGGAGAAACAAATTCCCGGAGAACAAACTCTCCGGGAGTATTAAGAATTGGCCTGTATATTTACGAGCGGCCATTAAATGTGTGATCTGAAAATGAATAGTGGAAGTTAAGCAACAATCTCTACTTAAGACTTAAGTGGGCCATCTGAAATCGGGCTCTAATACATCCCAAATGTACAAAAACAAATAAATACGTGTTAAGCTGTTTTAATTTACTACTTTTGTTTGCGTGAAAAGCATCAAAAGAAAGTGCGAAAAGTGCAAGTGTTTTTTGCAAGTAACTCTTTAATTAATTAAAGGTTAATTTCCGCTGTNCTTTTCGTTTACACATGCGACAATAGTCGTGCTTTCTTTGGCTATAGAGCTCAGTATCACTAACTTTATACTACTAGCACGAGGATAAAGAAATTTTAGAAACTAACTCACTAAATGGGAAAAACTTATCAGGCCGATTCTGAACAGAAACTCCCCGGGAATTTTCTCTCTTCTCCCTTTCCTCCTATCATGAATAAAAATTCCTTGAGGATTTTTATACTAAATGGCGGAGTTGAGCTCTCAAAAAAGTGTCAAACAGCTTTTTCGAAGTTCGAATTTAATCCTCCCAAGTTTTCGGGAAAAATGCTACTACTAGGAGTTAATTATTGGGGGATTTCTTTCTCGGGAGAAACAAATTCCCGGAGAACAAACTCCCCGGGAGTATCAAGAATTGGCCTGTATATTTACGAGCGGCCATTAAATGTGTGATCTGAAAATGAATAGTGGAAGTTAAGCAACAATCTCTACTTAAGACTTAAGTGGGCCATCTGAAATCGGGCTCTAATACATCCCAAATGTACAAAAACAAATAAATACGTGTTAAGCTGTTTTAATTTACTACTTTTGTTTGCGTGAAAAGCATCAAAAGAAAGTGCGAAAAGTGCAAGTGTTTTTTGCAAGTAACTCTTTAATTAATTAAAGGTTAATTTCCGCTGTCGGATTATTATTATTGGCGCTAAAACGCTTCGATTGATACCACTCTCGAAATTTTTCGTCCATTTTTGGCCATGTAAGCTAATGTACAAGAGTCTGATGACAAATCGGGAGATTTCTGGTATAACTGGGGAGGTAAGGTGTCATGGCGAAAAAGTGACCACTTGAAAGTCTTCTTAAAGGGAGTTCAGAAAGCCATACGTCAACCAAGGCCCAGCACAAAAGGATCCTCTATTACAGGACCAACATTCTACATAGACATCGAAATTCTGCCTCTCCACATCAGGGCTGCTCAACATTTTTATTTTAAAGTGCGAATCACAATACATCTGGCTAATTCCACGGTAGTAGATACCGAATGGATCGAAAATAAACTTAAGAATTTGAATGTATTATTTCTAGTAAGTAAAAGTAAATAAATTTAGCTTTTAAGACTGAAAGCCGAAATTTCGATATTGTCTAAAAATCTGAGCTCGAATCGTAACATCCGTTCACGGATCGAAAACCCTACGAAAGAAAATTACGTGATACCGTCGGTCGCATTTGTGCACAAGGGTATTATAACTTTGTTCACATAACGGTTGTTTGTAACGGCCAAAACGAATCGAGATAGATATAGACATATATGTACATAAATGATCAGTATGGAAAGAGAAGTCGATTAAGCCATGTCTGTCTGTCCGCCGCGTATACGATAACTCCAGCAAAACTCGAGATATCTCAACGAAATTGGGTATGTATTAGTATTGAAAATGGGCAAAATCGGACTGTAACCACGCCACTTCCCATATAACGGTAGTTTTCAGAAAATACGAAAACTGCGATATTTTAGTAACTACTGAAGCTTATGCGCTGAAAATTGATATTTTCAATGATTTTTAGACGTAAAATAAGAATATTATTAATTTTTGGAAAAATGGGCATAGCCACGGCCAGTTATGATTACAAGTGTATATTTTGGCAACCGCTACACCAATGTCTCCCAAATTGTTTTAGCCTTGGTACAACGTAGCAAACGGCTGAACATTTTTAGAATCGGATAATAACCACGCCCACATCGCAAGTAATATCATTATAGAATTTTGGCACGTATGTGTGATATCGCACACATCTTACCATATAAGTTTATCTCATTAAGTATAACTGAATATACTATCGAAACTGTTAGAGATAGAGGCAAAACCACTATTCTTACTATGTAACGATAGTTTTCGGAAAGGTGAAAATCTACATTTAATAATTGCGCCTGGTATTTAATTTTCGGCTCTACCCGAACTGAGACTTTTTTACTTGTTCACAAATAAATTGCTAAATCTAGATGACATTCAAATCTATGGGTTCATTGAAACATGTAATTTTTCGAATACGGTATAAAGCGACAAATACTGATCTTATCATTTGTATCAATATGAAAATAGAAAGAACTCAATCATTTTATTTAGCCGCATAGCCCTAATATGCCAAAGACCTTTCCTAACACTTAAAGCTCAGTTAGTCAACGACGTAGCGTAAACTTAAGTTGACGTACGTAGCAGCATATCAAATTTACTGTTGATAGAGAGAGAGAGCAGCAACGGAAACGTCACCGCTATGCGGTGATGAGTTTTGGTTAACACGCGAATCCCATAAGGTAGATCGTGTCTGCGTCAACCTACGTCTACGTTACGTCGTTGACTGTTTGAGCTTTAGCCCTAAGTACTCGACTTGGGGAAATTTATTAAACAGGTTCAATCGACTGCATAATTTCTAAGCGATTATATTGAGTAAAGGAGTAGTGATGGAGGCCAAGCTAATTGAAAGAGAGAAGCAAGGTTTATCAAAGTGTTGTCGTCGTAGAAGTGTGTGTGTGTGAATCATAGATCACGTAAAGGTTATATACTTTAACTGCTGTTGACTGATAACACTAAATCAATGCAACCTTGCTAGTAATGGCAAAAAAACTTTAATAATCGATTAATCGGTTAATTGATTAATCGAAAGCATTCGATTAATAATTGCAATTAATCGTAAGAAGTTAACCGATTAGTCGGTCGTTTCGATTAAAATCGAAAATAATAAAAACCATTTACTAAGTTATAAAAATTGACCATGAATTCAGTGCGCAAACAATAAAGAAAACAAAAAACTAAGGGAATCAATAAATAAAAAGATGTAAAGTAGTATACCATCCGTTATACACCCCGTGTCAAAAATATAAGCGCATCACAAGAATTCTTTTTGTTATTAAAAAAATTCGAGCTTTTTAATTTGATTTCTTAGAAAGATTTTCAGTATGCGTAAGCCCATTGCTGCCGCTGTGGTGTAGTGGTAAGCAGTGCGCGCTTCCACTCNCGCTATGCGGTGATGAGTTTTGGTTAACACGCGAATCCCATAAGGTAGATCGTGTCTGCGTCAACCTACGTCTACGTTACGTCGTTGACTGTTTGAGCTTTAGCCCTAAGTACTCGACTTGGGGAAATTTATTAAACAGGTTCAATCGACTGCATAATTTCTAAGCGATTATATTGAGTAAAGGAGTAGTGATGGAGGCCAAGCTAATTGAAAGAGAGAAGCAAGGTTTATCAAAGTGTTGTCGTCGTAGAAGTGTGTGTGTGTGAATCATAGATCACGTAAAGGTTATATACTTTAACTGCTGTTGACTGATAACACTAAATCAATGCAACCTTGCTAGTAATGGCAAAAAAACTTTAATAATCGATTAATCGGTTAATTGATTAATCGAAAGCATTCGATTAATAATTGCAGTTAATCGTAAGAAATTAACCGATTAATCGGTCGGTTCGATTAAAATCGAAAATAATAAAAACCATTTACTAAGTTATAAAAATTGACCATGAATTCAGTGCGCAAACAATAAAGAAAACAAAAAACTA